AAAATGTGTCTTGCAATAAGTTGCAACGTTGTATTAGAAGACATTTGTAATATTGACAGGAGATAAGTAGAGGGATCAAATGTGATACTGAAACGTTATGCTTTACATGTTCTTGATTATCAAGATTGTGATGGTTATGAAGGTGTGTGGGCTGCTAGCAACAACAGCCCAGTTGACAAGAATATCAATCAGGAAGTTTGTCCTCTAGCTGGGCTGCGACACCAGTCTCATGTGAACCAAATCTTTCACTAACATTTTTTAAACGAGACTTTGAACAAATTATAATTTACAGAAGATAATGAGCATCAATATCTTGAATATTTTCTTAAATTTCTTCCTTACGCCAGAATTTTTTGTGAAGATGAAGGTATAATGAAAGACTTGCTGATAAGTGGCGCCTCAGATAATGTTATTAATGTTGTGTACAAGATCCCTAGAGAATGTTGTTGACAGCGTTGACAATATCCTAAGAGAATGTTATTGATGTCATCTACAAAATAATCGGACGCTAATGTTGATGACAGTTACAAGAACCTCGGAGTTTGTTGTTGATATTAAGTACAGATACTCAGAGACTGTTCTTGATACCATTTACAAGGTCTATGTAAAACGTTGAAGATGGAGCTTGGGGCTCGGTTGATATCTTCATAAATTCACATACTGAGGGACTGGGGAATGCTCCCCGGTACTGTTCACCTGCTGTGTTCACCTAGAAGTAGGTACCTGGAGCGTTAGTCGATTGCTCTAGGTGGCACCCTGGGGGAGGCGAAGTTCATAGGATTCCAGTGAAAATAAGACTGACGATCCCTGATGGCGCACTGATTTTAATGGGTAAGTCTCTTAATTATAAATACTAACAAAATCTTATCTTACCATCGTGTTTTTGTAGGTCAAATACGAAAAGAAATGAAGAAATACAAAATGGGCTGAGGGTACTGGCCTATAGTTATTTTTTTATATCAATCGAGTCTCCTCATTCTTTACTCTATCATTATTAATTCTAAGTAAAGATTTGAGAAAAAGAAGATAATAAAAAAGGCAAAGCCCACTGGAAAGCAATACAGAAAACCAAATTAGAAAAGAGTTAACAAATACCAAAGCGATATGACTCACGAAATCGTAATGACACGATTGTAAACAAACCATAACACAGGAGAAAACCTGTGTGGTAACGCACATATGTTTTTACTTACTAAAACAGTTATTCTCATTGTACATGAAATAACTGTGCATAATTTTTTACTCAAATAATATGTATTAATATTAGTAGAATTACCGACAATGTTAGGTAAAAGGACACAAATATAACTAGTGGGACATTTGCTTGCAGGTTCTACCTAGAATGTCTCAAAAGTCAGCTAGTGTGCTATTTTTTTTCATGTGGATTTCTTATTTATTATTCAAAGAGAATTTTACACTACAAGTAAGATTATTTAGGTACAGGTACACATTAGTACAATTATCACACGTAGTCAGACGAAGTGACTTATTTCCATTGTGGTTATTATAATATTTTGATCAAACCAGAGATTAAATATTGACAAATTGTGGCAGGGAGGGGCACAAGTTTTTGAAATGTATACGCATCGTTTCTATTTTATTTTGAGAGGGGGGGGAGGGGGGCCTGAAAAAGAAGTAAATTCACATGAGTATAATTAGACAAATTTTTAGTAATGATAGTGTAATGAGAAGAGGAATTTGTAGTTTGTTGAGAGCGGCTTTATTATGTATATTGTTCCCGTCACGGTATTGTGTTTTATTATGTCAGATCATTATTTAGTGGTAACTACTGTGAGTGTGTGTGTACTCACCTATATGTGGTTGCAGAGGTTGAGTCATGGCTCCTGGCCCCACTCTCGCTTCTCCGTGAGTTTGTGTGTATGTGTGTGTGTGTGTGTGTGTGTGTGTGTGTGTGTATGTGTGTGTGTGTGTGTGTGTGTGTGTGTGTGTGTGTGTGTGTGTGTATTAATATATAAACAAACTTAGGGAACATAGATCTTCAGGAACACAAGTGGAACCACAATATCTCTGAAGAAACAAGCAACAACATCATTACCGTAGTCCAGGTGCCTCTCCTTTGCCCAACACTCTCTTTCTGACAAGAATAACTATGGCAGCCAGCAGTAGAAGGCTGACCACAATACCCCCCACCACAGCTCCAGCACTCACACCATTCTCAGTCGGTTCCTGTATCTGTGCCATCTCTCCCCAGCAGCCTGCTAGCGTACTTGCCTGCAGGTGGACATGAGACTCTGGCATTAGTACATTTCCAAATATTTTTATGATCTACATAACTATGGGTTTTCTTTATGCACAACTAAATGTCACCCATCTCTGTACAAACATTGCATCATTCTGAAATAAATTATTATTATTATTATTATTATTATTATTATTATTATTATTATTATTATTATTATTACACGAAGAAGCAACTCTCAGGAACATGTGAAATACTTTTATTGCTAGCACAGCAAACTCTTGCAAACTACCAAGAAAGTTCAGACCTTAACCTTGTTAAGGGAAAAAAATACAATATTATGTGGATTACTGAATCTTGGTTAAACACATAATGTGACGTCTGGTAACTGTGTTCTTCCTGGTTATTTTCTTCGCTATTGATAGATCAGTAAAATCTTTGGGTTGTGTTAAATTAGAAAAACTATCCATAACCTCAATATCAATAACTATACAAATCTTTTAAAACATCGTTTCGAACATATATATTAAAATGTACATTAATAAAGTAATTCAGAAATGGTTTAGAGATCACCTTTTCAGTCATCTCAAGTAGACGAGAGAATTTTCAATGGAATATTAAACAGGTGCATTAAAAGTACAGTGATTCTAATTAACGATTTTAATTTGACAGTAAGAAAGTATCTGAATCACAAATAACACAAATTGGAAATAAACGTTTAATAATGTTACGAGCCTTCGTTAAGCATTATCTTGGACGACTATGAAGCAGTGACTCGGTCGTCCTGGACGGACCGAAATGTAGAATATAGATAAATTTCCAATTTTAAGGTAAATTATGCATTGTGATTTTTATTTTTCAAAATCTGTTGAGTAGCTTTAAACTATCTGAGGCTGAAGTTGTATATAACAAGCATTTTTAATGATTAAAAAGGCACAATATCGTGACTGGAACAATACATAAGTAACCTACACATTGCAGAGAGAAGCTCATGACGACGTTTCGGTCCGACTTGAGCCATTTACAAGTCACACTTACGAACAGCTGGACAAAATCTGTTCACTGAACTTCTTAACGAAGGTTCAACGCAGAGATCATAAAAGCTAAAGTTGGATTAACGTTAACTTAAAACGATACATTGTACGCCAGGATAACCATAAATTGGTCGACCTCCTGACTTATTCTTCTAAACAAATATTAACACAGTACTCGATGCAAAGATATATTAGTGCACTACAAACCTGACTGTTAACATACATTTGTTACTTAACAAAGCCCCAACTCACGTGAAACGTCTTAAAAGATTCTGTTTCCCTTGTCTATGAATTATCACTGATCCTCTTGCACTGCTGTCTTCCCACGACTGAGTAAAACTGTCTCGTAACATATTACCTGTAGAGTGATATTGTAGTTTGTCTTTCGATGTAATTTGGACATTGTGTAGTTGGTGGCGTCAGCTGGGAGGTTGACAGAATCATCACCCCACGTCAGCAGGTAACCTGTCAGCTCACCATTCAGCTCTATGGGCTCCTTCCAAGACACAGTTAAGCTCTTAGCGCTGGACGACGTCTTCTGGAAGTTTTCTGGTCTCCCAGGAGCTGTCAAATTTTTTTAATAATAAATTTCGAATATTTTATTATTATCACACCGGCCGATTCCCACCAAGGCAGGGTGGCCCGAAAAAGAAAAACTTTCACCATCATTCACTCCATCACTGTCTTGCCAGAAGGGTGCTTTACACTACAGTTTTTAAACTGCAACATTAACACCCCTCCTTCAGAGTGCAGGCACTGTACTTCCCATCTCCAGAACTCAAGTCCGGCCTGCCGGTTTCCCTGAATCCCTTCATAAATGTTACTTTGCTCACACTCCAACAGCACGTCAAGTATTAAAAACCATTTGTCTCCATTCACTCCTATCAAACACGCTCACGCATGCCTGCTGGAAGTCCAAGCCCCTCGCACAAAACCTCCTTTACCCCCTCCCTCCAACCCTTCCTAGGCCGACCCCTACCCCGCCTTCCTTCCACTACAGACTGATACACTCTTGAAGTCATTCTGTTTCGCTCCATTCTCTCTACATGTCCGAACCACCTCAACAACCCTTCCTCAGCCCTCTGGACAACAGTTTTGGTAATCCCGCACCTCCTCCTAACTTCCAAACTACTAATTCTCTGCATTATATTCACACCACACATTGCCCTCAGACATGACATCTCCACTGCCTCCAGCCTTCTCCTCGCTGCAACATTCATCACCCCACGCTTCACACCCATATAAGAGCGTTGGTAAAACTATACTCTCATACATTCCCCTCTTTGCCTCCAAGGACAAAGTTCTTTGTCTCCACAGACTCCTAAGTGCACCACTCACTCTTTTTCCTCATCAATTCTATGATTCACCTCATCTTTCATAGACCCATCCGCTGACACGTCCACTCCCAAATATCTGAATACGTTCACCTCCTCCATACTCTCTCCCTCCAATCTGATATTCAATCTTTCATCACCTAATCTTTTTGTTATCCTCATAACCTTACTCTTTCCTGTATTCACCTTTAATTTTCTTCTTTTGCACACCTCCCAAATTCACCCCACCAATCTCTGCAACTTCTCTTCAGAATCTCCCAAGAGCACAGTGTCATCAGCAAAGAGCAGCTGTGACAACTCCCACTTTGTGTGTGATTCTTTATCTTTTAACTCCACGCCTCTTGCCAAGACCCTCGCATTTACTTCTCTTACAACCCCATCTATAAATATATTAAACAACCACGGTGACATCACACATCCTTGTCTAAGGCCTACTTTTACTGGGAAAAAATTTCCCTCTTTCCTACATACTCTAACTTGAGCCTCACTATCCTCGTAAAAACTCTTCACTGCTTTCAGTAACCTACCTCCTACACCTACACTTGCAACATCTGCCACATTGCCCCCCCTATCCACCCTGTCCCTACGCCTTTTCCAAATCCATAAATGCCACAAAGACCTCTTTAGCCTTATCTAAATACTGTTCACTTATATGTTTCACTGTAAACACCTGGTCCAAAACACCCCCCACCTTTCCTAAAGCCTCCTTGTTCATCTGCTATCCTATTCTCCGTCTTACTCTTAATTCTTTCAATTATAACTCTACCATACACTTTACCAGGTACACTCAACAGACTTATCCCCCTATAGTTTTTGCACTCTCTTTTATCCCCTTTGCCTTTATACAAAGGAACTATGCATGCTCTCTGCCAATCCCTAGGTACCTTACCCTCTTCCATACATTTATTAAATAATTGCACCAACCACTCCAAAACTATATCCCCACCTGCTTTTAACATTTCTATCTTTATCCCATCAATCCCGGCTGCCTTACCCCCTTTCATTTTACCTACTGCCTCACGAACTTCCCCCACACTCACAACTGGCTCTTCCTCACTCCTACAAGATGTTATTCCTCCTTGCCCTATACACGAAATTTCGAATAGTGGAAACAAAATTTTAAGATTTACTCTTAAGTTATTGTATTGATTCCTTCACCAATACAATAAAATAGCTTATCATCAACTCATGATATAATATATGATAATATGTGATAATATATGATATGTTTACGGTACCACAGTAACACTGGATGAAAAGTAAAGAAATAGTTAAAACACCGGCGGTTTTTAAGCAACCATTGTTTTATATCCAATGTTTGTGCAAAAGATAAAACACTTGCCGTCAGGTATATCAAAAAAAAATAGTAAGTGCTACTAACACTCTCAGTTGCAAAAACAAGGCAGTAAGTGCTACAGCAACTTTAAATTGCATAAACAAGGTAGTAACTACTACTACCACTCTAAATTACAAAAAAAAAAAAAATCCACAAATTAAAAACCGAAGACAGGGCACTACTAGCTTAGTTTCATCATCCTAATAGTCATTATCATTATTATTTCATCATTGCCATCTACATGGGCGCTTTTACTGTTATTAAACTACAAGGAATCTTTCAAACTACAAGGGCAGGTTTTTGCTATAAAATAACCGTATAAGTACACTGCAAGGCTGATAACAGAAAAAGTGCCTTTGAAGAATGATAACAGTAAAGTGTTGTTGTAGGTTAACAGCAGGTAAGGTAAGATTCGTCAGGAAACAGGACAAGCGTTTCCTGACGCGGGTCTTAGTCATATGATGACCCGCAGCTGGAGCTTTTGTTCATCTGTTATCTGAGGTGATAACAGAGAACGAGTCTTTGAAGGTTAATAACAGGACTTTTCACTAAAGTATAATAACAGAAAAAGTGTCCTTCAAGAATGATATCAGTAAAAATGTCCCTGTTGGTTGATAGCAGAAAATGTTTTATCGTACACTGATGATCGGAAAAATGCCAATGAAAGTTGAAAATAGTTGAAATCATTGGTCGATAACAGGATCCTTTGTCGAATAAGAGGAAAAATAATCTTGTAGGTTGTTAACTGGAAGCTTGTACGATAACAGGAAATTCCATTTGAATAAGATCTAGGACAAGTTAGCTTGTACTTCAAGCATTGAATAATTATGTGAATCTCACTAAACTCGAGGATGGAACACCACGAGAATAAATTTTGGAATGGTGTCACCCGCCTCCAGGGTAGCAGTACTAAAGTTTACTACCACCAGGGTAGTGGGAGTAGTGGTGACAGTCAAAATAACTCACATGCCTTCTAAGTAGTGGTTATAATATCACCAGTGACAACTGTTGTCGGACTAGTGGTGATAATATCACCAGTAACTCACCTGCCTGGAGAGTGGTGACGAAACAACAATTCGCAGGACTAATAAAGGTACTGATGACTGCAGAAACACACACGGAGTAGTTTGTCCAAGGTGTTAAGTTTGTCAAGTCAACATAGGCGACTTCAGTTTCTGTAGTGTTTGTCTCGACATCGTCAGACCACTGGACGTATCCTGTGTAGTTGACAGTGTAGCCACGAACCACGCATTTTGTCGTGGGTTTCTGCCAAGAAACAGTGACGTTGCGAGGCGAGGTGACATTCCGACATGACACTGACTGAGGTGACGCTGGAACTGTGGAACAATGGAGGGTGTTACTCCCTCAAACGAGGAGTTATTTATACTCTCACAACTGTTTGAAAAATGTTATCTCAGCAGCATCATGTTTGAGGCCTGGTCATGGACCGGGACGCGGGGGCGTTGACCCCCGGAATACCATCTAGATATAAAATATAAAATTTGAAAATAATCTTAACAGTTATTCTAATTTGCTTATATATATATATATGTATATATATATATATATATATATATATATATATATATATATATATATATATATATATATATATATATATATATATATATATATATATATATATATATATATATATGGTGGAATGATGATGTAGAGAGCAGTAAGAGAAAAAAAGTTAGCATGTGAGGGGCTTTTACAAAGTAGAGGGATGCAGGGAAGGACGAGAATATGGAGAACCAGTTAAAAGAGTGGTGAAGCAGTTTATAAAGAGAGCAAATGAGAGAGTGGGTGAGATGTTATCAAAAAATTTGGTTGAAAATAAGAAAAAGTTTTGGAGTGAGATTAATTAGTTGAGGAAGCCTAGGGAACAAATGGATTTGTCAGTTAAAAGTAGGAGAGGAGATTTATTAAATGGAGAGTTAGAGGTATTGGGAAGATGGAGGGAATATTTTGAGGAATTGTTGAATGTTGATGAAGATAGGGAAGCTGTGATTTCGTGTATAGGGCAAGGAGGAATAACATCTTGTAGGAGTGAGGAAGAGCCACTCCTGTGGCTGTGAGTAGAATATTCAAGATTGATGGACTGAACACATCGACTCAAGGTTGAGGGACTGATTACCTCATTCTCCTCCTGTTCTTCGTTTCTCCTATGTATGGACTGATGAAGCCACTGTGTGGCGAAACGTTTCCTCAATAAAGATACCCAAGAGTTGCACATGTGTCTAATTTATCAACATGTCGGTTCTCTGAACCATTCACCTACAAACCTGTCAGACACTGCAACTTCTTGGGATCTTAATACTTAGGAATTCTTCGCTTGCCTAATTCTTGGGCACAACCTACTTCCACATTGAACAAATGTGACACTACCTATGACTGCTACACCTCTCCTGCCATACGGTTTATAAGCTGCTTCTCCGCTCATCTGCCGTATTCTACTCAAGATTGATGGACTGAACACATCGACTCAAGGTTGAGGGACTGATTACCTCATTCTCCTCCTGTTCTTCAAGTTTCTCCTATGTATGGACTGATGAAGCCACAGTGTGGCGAAACGTTTCCTCAATAAAGATACCCAAGAGTTGCACATGTGTCTAATTTATCAACATGTCGGTTCTCTGAACCATTCATCTACAAGATCATAAATTCTCCACGCATCAACACCACTCCCAGCAAAGTTATAATTCTTCCCAACAGTCAGGTTGCACTGAACGTCTCAAAAGCACTTTCACAAGCTAACACCAGAGTCGCCATCGCTTCTAGCACTTCAATAAAGGATATAACCAGGACAAAATCCAAGCACCACGAACCAGTCAATGCAGGAGTTTACACTATACCCTGTGGAGGCTGTGACAAGATGTACGTAGGTGAAACAGCCAGAAACCTCGACACCCGCCTCAATGAATACATTTACGCATGTAGGAACGATAACCTGAACAACGCCTGTGTACAACACCGAAATTCCACCAATCATCTCATGAAATTCAGAGACGCCCAATTAGTGATCAAAGAAACCGCACACGCAAGTGCCTCGAATCAGCACTGATCGCTGTTTCGAATACAATTAAACAAAACAACGGCAGCTTCACCATCTCCGAAGTCTTAGCAAGAATCCTCCTGAAAACAGTAAACCCTGCCATCACATAGTCTCTCCTGTTATACTACACAAAGCACAGAGAGTGAACACTGAAACAAGCTGCCTCATTCCAGTTTATATTTGTCAACCTATTTTACTGTACCAAGTAATAGCTTTTATATCCTTTTACTCATGTACAAATTAATTGTCTCTACCATATTGTATTACTTTTGTCACTACCAACTACTTATGCTATACTACTTACACTAGTGGAAACATCGAACTGGTACCTCATAGTATTCCCCTCACTCTGAGCCTTTTATATACCCTCTGTGTCCAATGTATTTGTTTGTAATGGCGTGATAAATAAAGCTCCTGGAGAGGAAACGTTGCCACAATAAATGTCACATTGTGGCACTGTGACCTTTTACTTTACAAACTAAATTTGAACTACCAAAGTCCTAGCCTCATAACCCAACTAGTAGATGTTCCCACTCATCAACTACCTCTTTCCAAACCAATACTTGCCTATGTCCTTTCTAAATCTAAACTTATCTAATTTAAAATCCCTTACTGGGGTTCTCTCTTGGAGAGATATCCTCAAGACCTTGTTAATAATACCCTTTATTAATACCTATCTTCCACTTATACCACTTCGAATCAGTCTTCCCTAATTCTCGTCTAACAAGTTGAAGTTAACCTAAGAGTCTTCAATCTTTCTTCATAAGGATGATTTTATGCTTTGTATTAATTTAGTCATCCTACGCTGAATGTTTTCTAACGATTTTATGTCCCATTCTGTATATGGGGACAGAAATAGAGCTGCATATCTAGGTGAGGCCTTACTAATGATGTATAAAGTGCAGAATGACCTCTGGCGTCTGTTGTTACACTTCTTGTATAAATCCCAGTAATCTATTTGCCTTATTACGTACGCTTAGGCATTGCCTGGTCTTGGTTTAAGGTTTGCGCTTACCATAACCCCAAGTCCTTTTCGCAATCTGTATGTGCTAAGTTCTATATTATTTAAACTTATAAGTGCTGGGTTATGGACACTCCCGAGCTTCAGGACCTTGCATTTATCTACATTGAACTGCATCTGCCACTTTTCTGACCAAGAGTAGAGTTTGTCAAATCCTCTGAAGTTCACTAACATCTAGTTATAATCAATTATCTACCTATCTTATTGTCATCGGCGAAATTTGCTCATAACACTAGTAATTCCTTTCATCAAGATCTCATTGATATATATTATAAACAACACGGGCCCAAGATGATCCCTGTGGAACGCCACTTGTTACTGATCCCCACTCGGATTTAACCCATTTATGGAACACTCTCTGCTTCCTGTCTGGGAGCCATGATTCGATCACGAGAGACTCTTCCCCCAATGCCATGAGCTGCTTACTTTCTTCACAGTCTTTGGTGCGGAACTCTATCACATGCCTATACTAAAATCTAAGTAATAATATCAAATTCTTTATCGTGGTCAACAGCTCAAAAGACTTTACTGAAGAAAGTTAATAAATTAGTTAGACAAGACCGGCCCTCTTGTGAATACCTGCTGAGTATCATTTAATCAAGCTATGCTTTATCGAGATGGCATCTTATATATCTCAGCTATAATTGACTTAGTAATAACTTGCCTACAATGAGGTCGGCGTTTGGGCGGTAATTTGACGGTTAAAGACTTGTCCCCTGTTTTAAATAGGAATTACAATAGCCATATTCCACAGATCAGGTCTACACCTGTTTGAAGAGTAAATTAAAAAAATTTAGTTAATGGGATTCACAGACTTCCATTTTGCATTCCTTTAGAACCCTTTGAAAAAACCTCTTTCAGGACCCGGTGACTTATTTTGCTTCGTCGGTCTTCTGCTTCCAACCATTTCACTAGGACTGTGATGTTTCATATATTTATCTTCTTCTGGCCCAACTATAAAAATTAATTACCGGAATATTATTAGTGTCTTCCTGTGTAAAAACCGAGAGAAAATAATTATTTAAAATCGAGCACATTTCATTCTCTTTGTCCGTAAGATGCCCATAGTGATTTTAAGGGGACCTTATCTTATCTCTGACTTTTGTTCTATTTACTGGAAAAAATTTTTGGGTTAGTTTTTAGAATCCCTAGCAACGTTAATTTCTTTGTCACCTTTTAGCTTTTCTTATCCCTTTTTTAATGTGTCCCTCTTAATGTCAATTATTACTGATTCATAAGATGACTCGCCTCTTTTGATACGCCAATAAATTTCCTTTCTTATGCCCTTGTAGATATTTCAGCCTATTATTCATCCATTTTGGGTCATTCTATTTGATCTAATTTCTTTTATAAGGTATTAAATGTTCTTGAGCAGCATGTATTGTGAGCAGCAGACTGTCTTATGATAGCTCTCGTCGTTACCCCAGTCAAACAGATGATAAGTGTTCTCTAAGCCCATCGTAATTGCTAAGCGAAAATTTGGGACTGTTTTTTTTAAACCTGAGTTATCCCCTACTATCATACTTCCATTCATTCTAAACGTGTTTGTTAGGGGAGTTCGCTAGCACCCAGTTCTCTAGAAAACTTTTAATTTATAAACAAGGGATTCATTGTTGGCCCAGAACTAAGTCAAGCAGGTTATTACCCCGCTTGTAGGTTCTGTCCCAAAACTGCTTCAAAAACAATCCTGAAAGACTTCTAAAAGAAGTCGGTTATGATTCTAAATTCCCAGTGCAAGAATTCCAATCGATATGACTAATGTTAAAGTCTCCTGGAATTACTACATTATCGTGCCTTGTGGCCCGAACATTTTCCTACCTTAGTTATTCTTCCCTGGTCCCTATCTAAATTTGGGGGGACGGTATATCTCACCTAAAGTTAATTTTTCATTCCCCTCTTGAATTCTATCCTAACAGATCTGTATGTGTTACTTCAGTCTTAATTACCCGTGTTAACAACAGTTCAAGCGATCTCGGACCAACCAATGCCACCCACCCCCCTTCCCGATACTTCTATCTACTTGGTCAATTTGAAACCCTGAATGTGAATTCTGCATGCATGTCCGACTTTTTGAATTAACCACCGTCTCCGTAATGGCAAATACATCTATGTTACCTGCACTAGCAACTAGTCTCATCTGTCCATCTTATTCCTAGCACTGCGACTATTGGTGATAAATATACTTAAGGACCCTCTTTCTCGTTATCATTCCTGCTCCTTTCTGTTATTCCACTAAACCTATTACTGTCTTGTTCAAGTAGTGCCACGGCTTCCGATATCCACTCATTTTGCCTTTACTAGTTCTCTATTACTCATATTACTACCCAGGAGATTCACTGTTTTCCCGCAAAAAACATACCCACTAAAACTATTCCTAGTTTAAAGACCTAAACAGCTCCCTCACGGTTGGCCAGTGCTCCCACCCCACACCTAGATAAGGGAACCATCATCCTGGCTTACATGTCATTTCTGCATTAGAAGAGGGTCCAGTTGTCAATGAAAGTTACCGCATTTTCCTTACGTATTTGTCCAGCCCAGCATTGACAACCATTGCTCTGGAAACCCATTCATTTCCAATCCTCTCCTTGGCAAAATGCCATATGACAGGTTCCACCTTCTCTCCTAATTATCTCTATTGCGACCTATACCTGCTAATTCGGTCTCACTCCTACGGTCTGCCAACATCATTGACACCAGCACTGAGACAGATAATATGCTTGCTCCCATTACCTCTCAAGCTGTCATCGACGGCTAACAATATCCTTATCCCTGCCCAGGAAAAAACACACTCTCTGCCTCCAACTCCTGTCCTTCAAGCAGAATGCCCTATATCCATGTACCTACTTGGCTATCCCCAACAACACAATGTTTTTACCTTCCTTTGCGTCGTCTGTCGTGATGCTCGAGTAGTCGACCTCACATTTCGCCAGGTAGCATTACACCACTTGTAAATTCGTCAAGACGTTCTGCTGGGCTTCGTTGGGGTTTCTAGGGATGTCTCACTCCGTCTGCCAATGCTTCTTTGGTGCTCGTTGTTATGGCCTTCCCCAGTAGAACATTCACATTCGGCGGGGAGCACGAGAATGGGTTGGAAGTTTCCACGGTAGTCTTCTGGTTTCTCGTTGTTTCTGCCTCTCCAACCGTTTTCTTGATCTTCAGCTTGGTTCCATGTTGCCCGGCCACTGACCAAGCTCCCCTCTTAACCTGGGGACTCACAACAGGAGGATTACTACGAATCCTCTTGTTCTCCTCCGTTAATCGCCGTATCTCCATCTTAGCAACTCTGAGCTCTTCTCTCAGCTGCTGGTAAAGTTGCTCAAGAGAGGGCATACGAAGGTCGAGACGACACCTCACCATCGCATCTGTGGCATGCAAAGAGTACGTAACCTTTATTCGGCGCATGTACACACCCTCATTTACAGGCTATCTCCCCCAACCAGCGAACCAGGTTGCTAAGAGTTGATGATGGGGCCCCGTCGTTCAACTAGTGACCAGGTTCTAGCCAATAAAAAGATGGTTATGTGGGTACCGCTCTCCTGTCTCCCCTTATCATTCCCATTCTAGAGCTGGTTGAAGCACGGTCTGCTTTCATGTGGCCTCTATTCTGCCTTGCTTACCGTGGAGTGCATTAATACTTATCACTGTACATAGTGTACATATTGCTGGTGAAGGATAATTAATATAAGTCAAAACTTTTCTGCTGTGTTTATTTTGCTCCCTTTACACCCAGGATAGCAGGCCATTTGGATTCCTGGGTTGTAATAACATCCCACAACAAAGCAACACCTGACGCGCGACGGCATCCGACTCATAAATATAATATGAATATGAATAAATAATATAATATGAATAAAATAAATATTTCTTTTGGTTTATAAAAATTAGATTCATTTATAATTAATAAAATTTGGGAAGAATTTAATAATGCATTGGACAAATAGTAAATCTTATTTCTTGGGTAGAGTGCTTTATTAGTGGGATGTCGTGAGGACCTGCCTAGTTGGGGCCAACAGGCCTGCTGCAGTGTTCCTTTCTTATGAGTCGGATGTCGTCGCACATCAGGTGTTGCTTTGTTGTGGGATGTGATGTTGAGGTGTGGTCTCGACCTCTATATGCCTTCCTTTGATGTACTTTTTATAGTTCCATGATAATGTGAGTGATCACAAATGCGCTTGGAATTTCATTATTCTTTCACAGTGGTTGTAATATATATATATATATATATATATATATATATAAATATATATATATATATATATATATATATATAATATTATATATATATATATATATATATATATATATATAATATATATATATATATATATATTCTTCTTTCAACGTACCAGCCGTATCCCACTGAGGTGGGGTGGCCCAAAAGAAAAAACTGAAGTTTCTCCTTTTAAATTTAGTAATATATACAGGAGAAGGGGTTACTAGCCCCTTGCTCCCGGCATTTTAGTCGCCTCTTACAACACGCATGGCTTACAGAGGAAGAATTCTGTTCCACTTCCCCATGGAGATAAGAGGAAATAAACAAGAACAAGAATTAGAAAGAAAATAGAAGAAAACCCAGAGGGGTGTGTATATATATGCTTGTACATGTATGTGTAGTGTGACCTAAGTGTAAGTAGAAGTAGCAAGACTTACCTGTAATCTTGCATATTTATGAGACAGACAAAAGACACCAGCAATCCTACCATCATGTAAAACAATTACAGGCTTTCGTTTTACACTCACTTGGCAGGACGGTAGTACCTCCCTGGGTGGTTGCTGTCTACCAACCTACTACCTGTATATTATATATATATATATATATATATATATATATATATTATATATATATATAATATATATATATAATATATATATAATATTATTATATATATATATATATATATATATAATATATATATATATATATATATATATATATATATATATATATATATATATATATTATATATATATATATATATATATATATATTTATATATATATATATATATATATATATATATATATATATATATATATATATATATATATATACATATATATATATATATATATATATATATATATATTATATATATATATATATATATATATATATATATGTATATATATATAAAATGTCGTGCCGAATAAGCCGCATTGGCGAGTTTGGCTTTAAAAAGTTAATACGTTTTCTGCTGGATAATCAGAGAGAAAATGTACTATTGCCATAACTTTGCGAGATTCAGTTTGAACATAACTAGGAAAATATATTTCATTTTAAGTAACATTACATAAATTTAAGGTGACCTGTGATAAACATATCGGATTTTTTGCTAAGAAAATTATATTAGCTTAAGTTAGGTTAGACAATTTTCTAAGTTAGGTTTGGTTCAAAAAAACAATTACATCATTCTCAATGAAAAAGAAATATCTATCACTCTGTAAAAGAAGTTTTTGGAAAAGCCAAATTTTCAAGGGACTCTTCAACCTCTCATCAGTAAATATAATAAACATCGAGTAAACAAACGTAAAAGTTATAACGAAGAAATTAAAAGAAGTTTCTGAAGGATGTGCAGTATTATCTCAGATTTAGGTCAGTAAGGGTCCAAGAGCTACAAACACCAACAGGAATCTTACTTTAATCTCAGACGAAAGAATTCAAAAATTCTAGACCTATAACAAGCGTGTTTCAGGTATGTCACAGACCCAGATTTTGTACATTTCGATCTGTGGTCGTTCCAAATACTGAACTGAACGACAATTAAAATGCAGCTTTTCGATATAAAGATCACAAATACTTAATCACTTTGCAACACTACACAATGTACCTAGAAATTAAAAATAAATGGGCTGTAGACTCACTTTCAGCATCAGTAGTGGTTACATTGACTTCCTGGTCACCATAGCCCTTGCAGGTGGCAGCCCGGAGGGTGATGTTGTAGGTAGTACACGGCTCCAAGTCCTTGACGGTATACTCTGTTATATTTGCTTCCACAATAGCCTCAGTGACATTATCTTCGTCTGTTGTGTTCCAGGTAACAATGTAGTTAGTTATGATTCCTCTTGGCTCGTCTGGATAACTCCAGGTTATCGATAAAGACCGAGCACCTATGCAATCTACCGTGAGGTTACCTGGAACTCCTGGCTCTGCGAGGTAAATATATAAAATGTACAGAAATCAAAGAAAATAAAGACAAAATTTACAATTATATATAAATAATAATCTTTTGAATAGTAATAAGTGTTTATTTCAAATGATTTTAAGTTTATCATTACGTGTACTCGAAACATGAAGTGATTGATATATTTTTTGAAGCCGATCAAATGAAACCTACTAAGTTTAAAAAAAAAAGGTAAATAAAAGAAAAATCAGTATATCTGTACCGGGAAGGTACAGAAGTACATGACCGACCATTGTGGGAGAGTGTAATATGAGACTGGAAGCCTAGCTTCTCCCTACGAGCCCCGTGAGGGCGGGGACTGTGGCTAGGCCTGGGGACAGTTGGCGTCAAAGATGAGGAGGTACTTGTACCTCCTCCCATGGGAGACTTAGGTCTCGAGACACTCCCCAGATACGGAGCCAAGGCCGGGTCACCAACTACTTGGAAAAGACCCCGGTCACCAACTACTTGGAAAAGACCCGGGCCGGGAGAATACCGGCGAATAAAAAAAAAAAGTGTAATAAGAGACTGGAAGCATAGAAACTTGAGAGAGACGAAGCATAATGAAGATATGTGATAAGGGAACCTTTAGTTTCTTAACATAAGTAATAACTTGAAAGATTACATTATCAGGAAAATTAATAAAATAACGATTACAATGATTTAGAATAAAACCAAATTAGCACAAATGAAATAAATATATAGTGAAAAAAAATCATCAGACGAAAGTGAATAAATAGAATGTACTAAGGAAGAAATTAAAGTTAACTCAGTGCATAAGTTGAAATGCAAAATAAATATAGCCAGAGCAGCACTAACTCGGAAATAAATACAAGACGTTATACATTCCCTGGAGATCTTATGTGCCGACAAATGCTGAACAGAATAATGTAATATTTGTTTCAAGTTTAAATACATTTTTTAATGTTTTAATTATTGCCTCTTGCAATCTTACATAATTAAAAAGAATTATAATGCACTCACTATCTTGGTCGGTTTGGGAGACAGTGCAGTTTGGCTCAGAATATAGTGAATTTATGGCAACCACGCAGACGTTGTAGTTGGTATAAGCTTCCAGGTTACTAATGGTGAAGTGTGTATCACTGGTGATCGCCGAATCCACCAGAACCTGCGTGTTTGTATTATCCCAGGTGACACTGTAGTTAGTGACGGGACACAGAGGTCCTGGAGCCTCAGGTGTTGTCCAGTTCACAGTCAGCTTGTCGGACTGGTCCTCCACCTCATCTGCTGTCAACATCTGAGGCGGGTCTGAAGCTGCGGATGAATAAACTGCTGTGTTACTTTACACGAAAATTGTAAAATTAATTAAATCTTTACGAAAAATGTACAACTAACATGACGAGATCTGACGTTACATTTTACCCACAATGCGTTAACAACAAACTGAAGTGTAATCACGAGTGTGGGCTGCACATAGTTGTACACAAGTAAGGGCTGTACATGGTTATACCAGTGGGCTGCGCATATTTGTACAGGTGAGGAGTGTGGATAATTGTACAAGTATAGATTGCACATGGTTATACAGCATCTGTGGATTTCTGATGACTGTTCAAGTGTGAAGTGAACATTGTTGGATAAGTATGGAGTGTACATGATTGTACAAGTATGGACTGTACATGATTGTACAAGTGTGGACTGTACATGATTGTGCAAGTGTGGACTGTACATGATTGTACAAGTGTGGACTGTACATGATTGTACAAGTGTGGACTGTACATGATTGTACAAGTGTGGACTGTACATGATTGTACAAGTGTGGACTGTACATGATTGTACAAGTGTGGAGTGTACATGATTGTACAAGTGTGGACTGTACATGATTGTACAAGTGTGGACTGTACATGATTGTACAAGTGTGGACTGTACATGATTGTACAAGTGTGGACTGTACATGATTGTACAAGTGTGGACTGTACATGATTGTACAAGTGTGGACTGGACATGATTGTACAAGTGTGGACTGTACATGATTGTACAAGTGTGGACTGTACACGATTATACAAGTGTAGACCGTACATGATTGTACAAGTGTGGACTGTACATGATTGTACAAGTGTGGACCGTACATGATTGTACAAGTGTGGACTGCACATGTTTGAGGGCAATGTGTGGTGTGAATATGATGCAGAGAATTCGTAGTTTGGAAATTAGGAGGAGGTGCGGGATTACCAAAACTATTATCGAGAGGGCTGAGGAGGGGTTGTTGAGGTGGTTCGGACATTTAGAGAGGCTGGAATGAAATAGAATGACTTCGAGTGTATAAATCGGTAGTTGAGGGAAGGCGGGGTAGGGGTCGGCCTAGGAAAGGTTGGAGGGAGGGGGTAAAGGAGGTTTTGTGTGCGATGGGCTTGGACTTCCAGCAAGCATGCGTGAGCGTGATAGGAGCGAATAGAGACAAATGGTTTTTAGGACTTGACGTGCTGTTGGAGTGTGAGCAAGGTAGCATTTTTGAAGGGATTCAGGGAAACCGGCAGGCCGGACTTGAGTCCTGGAGATGGGAAGTACAGTGCCTGCACTCTGAAGGAGGGGTGTTAATGTTGCAGTTTAAAAACTGTAGTGTAAAGCACCCTTCTGGCAAGACAGTGATGGAGTGAATGATGGTGAAAGCCTTTTCTTTTTCGGGGCCACCCTGCCTTGGTGGGAGACTGAGGACACTAAATCTGAATTCTCCGGTAAGATTTATAATTAGGGGTGATATAATTTCTGTGTATAAATGGAAGATAGGAGTAAATAAAGGGAATATAAATATGTGATAAAAATATCTAACCATGATAGGTGTTGCAACAATGGGTTCAAGTTGGAAAAATTTAGACATAGAACAGATAGTAAAGCACTGGTTTAGCAATAGAGTTGTAGACGACTGGCCGTTTTATCGCTTTATTTATAGACGAATGAAAGAAACTCCTGAAAAGAGTCATTCATTGCAGCTATAACCTGTTGTAGTGCTCCTTCTGATGTTCTTAAAACACAAGTGACATAATCCTGAAACATTTCTTGCAGCTCTAGGTTACATTATGTTAACAATAACCCCACCATGAGAAATGGCAACTTCCACTACAGGACTAGAGAATCTTTAACTTCCGCGATCTCCTTCAAGCAGTGAAAAAAAAAAAAAAATGCTGACAGTTCCGGTTCTTAGGTGTTCCATCTTAAGCAGTAATGGTGGATCGGCATTTTTTTTATGACGAAGGAAATTCAGATCACTGTTGTGTATCTGGGAGGCAATGGAAAGTCTGGAAAATAACAAGCAATTATTTTCAGCGATATCAATTGTATCTGAGTTGTTTACTGGACTTGTCTCTGACTGGAGGATGGCTGGAAATGTGGAAGTTATGTTTAATAGGATCTGTGGCAGGTTTAACTCTGGTAAGACAAATAGGCAACATTTAGTCATCTTTATTCCGAAACGTTTCGCCTACACAGTAGACTTCTTCAGTCGAGTACAGGAAGTAGGCAGGAACAGTAGAGATGCGAAGACGATGTAATCAGTCCATCACCCTTGAAGATGTAGACTTGAGGTTGTCAGTCCCTCAGCCTGGAGAAGAATTCTGTTTCATAGTCTGAAACTTCCTGTACTCGACTGAAGAAGCCTACTGTGTAGGCGGAACGTTTCGAAATAAAGATGCCTAACTGTTGCCTATGTGTCTTACTTACCAACTTGTCGGTATTGTTTGCCATTTTGGTATTCAGGTTTAACTCTGTTGACAAGGCTCTCACTAATACACATCTCATACTGGTAAACTACAGTTTCTGAGTCTTTAGCAGAGTCTCTGCCGCAGCTGGATCTGTAGTGTGTCTGCTCTTCAGGTCAAGATCACTGCTGTTCAGGACACTAATATCACTGATGTTTTCAATAAATGGATATTCTATCTACACCTCGGCTTGTATAAGTGATGTCATGTGTTTAACAAATGTCAACTGGTGTTAGTTGAATTCTCAAACTCCTGAATTAAATGAGCTGTTTCAGAAGCAGTTACCCACCAGCGCTGCAGAGCTGTTGGAGTGAACTGAGGTCCAGGATGCTCAGGTTGGGTTCCCCTCAAGGGAGGTTTCTTGACGCTGGTGAGGAGCTCTTGATCTAGGAAATTAGATGTTTCAGTTCCTGAATTAAGCCTGAATACCTTCAATCCCCCCCCCCACATGTGCTGTATAATCCTACGGGTTTAACGCTCCCCATGTTCATAATAATAACAATATATTTATAATTCTCTTGATTTTAAGTAATTTGAAGACTTCTTTACTTTTTTAGGAAAACTTTTTATAAAATACTTGAAACTAATAACAAAACACAAGTAGTTTTTTCTTTAGAAACTGAGTAATAGTTTTTTTGTTTACCATGAGTCATTGTTGATATTGTTGACTGTTGTTTGTCACCGACTTCATCTGCTTCATTCCAGGGCTGGAGAGTGACAGTGTAGTTAGTACACGACACAAGACCTGTGATAGTATACGTGTTGTTACCATCAGTGACATTGTCAGTCCCACCGTTGTCCTCGGGACTCCAGCTGATGGTGTAATAGGTCGCTCCTGACACTTCACCCCACACAGCCTCTATACTGTTTGTTGACGATGTCAGCTCAAGTGTTTGATTATCTGGCGAGAAAAATTACAAGTTACGTTGCACCCCAAGAGGATACATTTAGTGTTTGTCAGAATAATTTCTTCCTCTAAAGTTTTTATGCAATAACTTGAGAACGTCTCTTGTTATCACCTTTAAACTTCCAGTACAAATGAATCTTAAAAGAACGTTTAGAATGTTATCAGGAGGTGTCAGTCCCACGTTACCAGTTTTAATGAATAAAAAACCTTTGCAACACTTTGGTATCCTTGTTGTAAAAACATTTCGCCACACAGTGGATTCCTCAGTCCAATACAGAGAAGAATGGTGGAAGATAAGGAGAAGTATGAGATAATGAGTCCCTCAGCCTGTAATTCAAGTGATCAGTTTATCAGTCTTGATAAAACTACAGAATATGCCCTGAGAAGGAACATATATAATGCAGACAAGTGAACTGAAGCAGTTGTAGGCGGCGTCACAATTGAAAAATCCACAGGAGGAAGTATTCCATGCCTACTTGTGGGTTCTCTCAACCAATTATCTAATTTTATTCAACTAATTAGAATATTGGTATCCATATGAAAACGTGAGATGACATTTCTTATCAATATCCAAATTCTGATTAAATTTGGATATTGATTTCCGAGAGATAATGTTGTGAGACACAAGTTATAAACTCTGGGTTCACTCAGCAACCATCACAAACAAGTTACATCATGTTTTATGTTGGCGATTGTAATCCATGTATTGTAAAAACGAGAATCATTGTTAAATGCATTACGTTACACATTTTTTTGCAAATTTTCATAATATTGTTGAAGACAACGGAAAAAACAATTGATAAAATATTCTTCAAAATTGGAAGAAATTCTATTATTTCCAGAATATATAAAACATTGATCTTAAGAGTATCACTATTGAAAAAATCAAGATGTCAGGAGTGTGTGTTTGACATCAAGATCACTCACAAGATGTCAGGAGTGTGTGTTTGACATCAAGATCACTCACAAGATGTCAGGAGTGTGTGTTTGACATCACTGCATCAGTCTATTCATATCATCCTGGAGTGCTCTAATGTCCTTATTAGAAAGAATTGGACGGCCTATTTTGGTGTCACCAGCAAATTTGCTTATGTCGCTATTTCTTCCTTCGTCTACGTCGTTTAAGTAAATTGTGAACAACAACGGGCCCAACACTGATCCCTGAGGAACACCGCTTGTGACGTGCCCCCACTCTGATTTCTCCCCATTTATGCAAACTCTCTGCTGCCTATTTGTCAGCCATGCCTCTACCCAGGAAAAAATTTCTCCTATTCCGTGTGCCTTAAGTTTCCTCAATAGCCTCTGATGTGGAACTCTATCGAAAGCCTTACTGAAGTCCATATACACAATATCATATTCAATACCATGATCTACCTTCTTAAGTAATTTAGTGAAGAAAGTTAGTAAATTCGTAAGACAGGAACGCCCCTTTGTAAAACCGTGCTGAGATTCATTAATCAATTTATGCCTATCAAGATGGCCACGAATTGCTTCGCCAATTATTTATTCCATAAATTTACCAACTATGGAGGTAAAGCTTATTGATCTATAGTTCGAAGCTAACGACCTGTCACCTGCCTTGTAAATAGGTATTACATTTGCCATTTTCCACTTATCAGGCAGTATGCCAGTTTGTAGTGATATGTTAAAAAGATTAGCCAAATGTATGCTAAGTTCCTCTTTACATTCCTTTAACACCCTTGCAAACAGTTCATCAGGGCCTGGGGATTTGTTAGGTTTTAGTTTCTCTATTAGTCTGAGGACCATGTCACTAGTTACCGCAATCGTGCATAGTTTATTATCGTCCTGTTCTACATAATTTATTATTTCTGGAATTTCGCTAGTATCTTCCTGAGTAAAAAAACTGAGAGGAAGTAGGTATTGAAAAGATCACACATTTCCTTATCACTGTCAGTGATCTGACCTGAGTTACTCTTAAGTGGACCAATCTTGTCCCTAATCTTACTTCTGTATACCTGAAAGAACACTTTTGGGTTAGTCTTCAAATCCCTTGCGACTTTAGTTTCATAATCCCTTTATGCTTTTCTCATTCCTTTTTTAATTTCTCTCTTTAATTGAATATATTGATTTTTTAACTGCCCATCCCCTCTTTTGATACGTCTATATATGCCTCTCTTTTGACCAATGAGATATTTCAATCTATTGTTTATCCATTGGGATCATTTTTGTTAGATCAAATTTCCCTACTCGGGACAAAAGTCGTCTAGGCAGCTAGCACTGTGCTATGAAATATGTTATATTGGTAACCAACCCTACCTACCTGACCCATAGTAAGGTCATCCCAATTTAGCCCAGCCAGGTAATTTCTCAGTCTCATGAAGTCGGCCAAGCAGAAATCTGGGACAGCGACTTGATTGCAGTTATCTGGGTAATTCCATTATATACTGAAACTAAGTGATTTGTGATCACTTTCCCCAGCTCATCATTAACCTTAAGATTATTAACTAGTGATTCTTTGTTGGCAAGAACCAGGTCAAGCAGATTCTTTCCTCTAGTTGGCTCTCTCACAAACTGTTTTAGAAAGCAGTCCTGAACCGTATCAAGAAAGTCACTAGATTCAAGATTTCCTGTTATATTGTTCCAATCAATTTGTCTAAAGTTAAAATCTCCCATTAACACAACATTTTCATATCTAGAATTTCGTCCCATAGCAGCTTACTGCCCTCCCTATCAAGGTTTGGGGGCCTATAATTTTTCACGCCCTTCGAGAAACTGTAGCCAAACAGATTCTGTGTCCGATGTTTCTAATCTTACAATTTAGATTATCTCTGACATACATCGCCACTCCACCACCCTTCCAATTTTATTATGTAAACTGTTTTTAGCATAATAACTAGAGAACACTTCTTCTGATGGGCTTCAAACCTTGATTACTGGTGTATCTTAAAAGGAAAATTTTTTATAATAATTTTGGTATGTGTGGGGTGCCAGTTTGACTTTTATTGACAGTTTCATAATTTTTTTTTTTTTTATAAATTAAATTCAAATATTTTTCTTACAGGATTGTTAAGAATTTTAAATAAAATATAAATGAGACAAAAAATGGAAAACACAAAAAAATCAGCTGTTTTCAGTTGTGTTTTAGTTTAACGAGGAGAGATTTTCCTATTTTTGGTTTATCTGTCACTAATTTCGTTTAGTATTCGAGATCGCCTGGTCAGCTGAAAATTTTGAACGTTTTGTAGTATATATAGGGCAAGATTTACCGAGTTATTTACAAGCATGGGCGCACTGTGCACTATGCTGCGTGGGCACCAGCGCAGTGTGTGTCATCCCTGGCATCACCAATGCAGTGTCATCACTGGCATTACCAGCGCAGTGAGTGTCATCCCTGGCATCACCAGCATGACACTGGCATAATCAGCTCAGTATGCGTCATCACTGGCATCACCAGCGCAGTGTGTGTCATCACTGGCTTGTGGAGTTATCCTAACTCCACAAGACTCTGAAAGGGCAATAAATGACATGCCCATGCACTCTGCCCCAGGCCCAGACTCATGAAACTCCGTGTTCGTCAAGAATTGCAACAAGCCCCTATCGCGTGCCTTCAACATTCTATGGAGAGAGAGCATGGACACAGGGGTCATCCCACAGTCACTAAAAACAACAGACATAGCCCCACTCCACAAAGGTGGCAGTAAAGCAATTGCAAAGAACTACAGACCGATAGCACTAACATCTCATATCATAAAAATCTTTGAGAGGGTTCTAAGAAGCAAGATCGCCAGCCACGTAGATACCTATCAATTACACAACCCAGGGCAACACGGGTTTAGAGAAGGTCGTTCCTGTCTGTCCCAGCTACTGGACCACTATGACAAGGTCCTGGATGCTGTGGAGGATAAACAAAATACAGATGTAGTATACACAGACTTTGCAAAACTTTCGACAAGTGTGACCATGGTGTAATAGCACACAAAATGTGTGATAAAGGAATAACAGGGAAAGCTGGTAGATGAATATATAACTTCCTGACAAATAGAACACAAAGAGTAATAGTAAACGGAGTAAACTCCCAGGCAGCCACGGTGAAAAACTCTGTTCCACAAGGCACAGTACTCGCTCCCATTCCATTCCTCATCCTCATTTCTGACATAGACAGAGATGTAGGTCATAGCTCCGTATCTTCCTTTGCGGATGACACCGGGATCACCATGGCAGTGACCTCCATCGAAGACACTGCAAGACTCCAAGCGGACATCAACCAAATCTTAGAATGTGCCACTCAAAACAATATGAAGTTCAACGAGGAGAAATTTCAACCACTCAGATATGTGAAACTTGAGGAAGTTAAAAATGTATCAGGGTATACGACAAATTTTAACCATACAATAGAGCGGAAAAGTAATGTAAAGGACCTGGGAGTGATAATGTCAGAGGATCTCACCTTAAAAGACCACAACAATGGATCCACCTCATCTGCTAGGAAAATGATAGGAAGGATAATGAGAACCATCAAAACTCTCGATGCCAAGCCCATGATGATTCTCATCAAATTGCTTGTTCTCTCTAGGCTGGAATACTGCTGAACACTAACGGCCCCCTTCAAGGCTGGCGACATTGCAGACCTGGAGAGTGTACAAAGAACTTTCACGGCACACATTAGTACGATAAGGTACCTAAATTACTGGGAACGCTTGAAAGTCCTTGATCTGTATTCCCTGGAATTCAGGAGAGAGAGATACATGACAATATACACTTGGAAGGTCCTGGAAGGATTAGTACCAAACCTACACACGAAAATCACTCCCTATGGAAGCAAAAGACTTGGCAGGAAATGCAACATTCCCCCGATGAAAAGCAGGGGCGCCACGAGTACATTGAGAGACAACACAATAAGTGTCCAGGGCCCAAGACTGTTCAACTGCCTCCCAGCATACATAAGGAGGATTACTAATAGACCCCTGGCTGTCTAAGAAGGCGCTGAACAGACACCTAAAGTCAGTACCTGAATAACCGGGCTGTGGTTTGTA